ATGAATAAAAAGTGGTCATTGGTTCAGCAACACTGATGTGTCCTCCTCTAACAGTTAAACTCTGTGTCGGTGCTCGTGTTATTTCTAGAAAGTCACGTGACTGATACAGGAGACCAAATGAGAACAAATAATCCAGGAAATCACATTGTAGGATTTTTAAAGAATTGGTTGATTTTTTTTTTTTTTTCACACCAAGCTGCTTGCCTGTTGTAGATTCCCTCCTCCCAGCCTGGTGCAGCTCTTTGCTGTTTGTAGTGGGACTGTTTGAGGCTGAGGACGGGTGTCTGTTCTACGGGTTCAAACAGGTGCCAATAATACAGGTAACCAGTGGAGGACAGAAGAAGTTACAGGTCTGTGAGAGCCAGACATCTTTCTGGTTTGTGACCAAATACTTATTTTCCACCATAATTTAGAAATAAATTCTTTAAAAATCCCACAATGTGATTCCCTGGATTTTGTTTCTCCGCTTCCATAGAAATGCTTTATAATCCAGAATTCCTCAAATGGATTTTAGTTTCATTTGGTAAAAATCACTAACCTTTAGCTATCCGATTATTAATCTTAGAAATAATGGAGCGATTAATAGATCAAAGGAATGATTAGTTGCAGGAGAGTTGATTAAATGGGTTTATTGTTTTCTTTTCAGAGATGAGCATGAGGACTTCAAAGAGGAGATGCGGCGCCTGAGGAAGCTTAGAGGAAAAGGGACACCGAAGAAAGGAGAAGGAAAGAGGGCGGGAAAGAAAAAATAAACTGTCCTGGAGCGTCTGGCAGGAAACGAGCCTTTTTTCTCTCTAAGTTCTCCTCCTTCCTCCCACAGTCCAAACTCCACCGCTAGCTTGATTGGCTTCTCTAGTTTATCCCTGGGGGGGGGTGTCTCTGTGTCACCTGTCCAGGGTGTAACCCCGCCCCTCGCCCACAGACTGCTGGGACCCGCCCCACCCTGATGGGGGGGATGTTTTTTTTTTTTTCCCTTTTTGAATTTAAAGTCTTCACTCATGGATTTAATGATAAATAGAAATAAATGAGCTTTGACATGTTTTATGCAGACTGTTCAAAGATTCCTGGAAAAAAAGCTAAAAATTCAAGGCGTGTGACGTCGCCCGGTCAGCGGAGCAGGACCCCACCCTGGAGCCCAGCCTGGNGATTAATCGAAAAAATAATCGGCCGATTCATCGATTTTTAAAATAATCGTTAGTTGCAGCCCTAATCGGAAGAGAAAAGTCTTCAAACTTATTTAAGTTTGAAGTTTAGTTTTTTTATTTAACTTTTTTGGAATGACTTTGACCTGGATGACTGAGAATCTCCATCAGCATAAAAAATGGAGAGCAACTTGGAAAGAGCCAGGGTGTAGTCAGTGTTTTTAATGTTTCACGCTTTTGTTTGTCCTAATTCTTCTCACCAGCGCTGCTCCGTGTTTACAGAACGTAAAGCCGGGCTCACACCGTATGAGTTTTAGTCCTTCTAGGGCCGATTCTCCAGTCATGCAAGGATTTTTTTGATTAGGCCGAGTTTCAGCCTCATCCTGCGTTGTGGAGCATACAGGAGGTAACGGGGACCTGGAGTCAACAAGTCATCTCTGTCATGTATTTGTTCTGCTCAGCTGCTGAACCAGGTGAGTCTAATCTGCACAGCTTAGTTCACTCTACAGACCTGGTTCAGTGGCTGGGCAGAACAAATACACGACATGGAAATGACTTGTTGATTCCAGGTCCCCCATCTCTGTGATCAGCCTCTCAGGACTAACTCCTAACTAACTCTTCTAGATTGACGAGTCTGACGTGATTTTTGGACGTAGACTATGAGCAGTTAGATAAACTAAGAGCGTGGGAACGTACAGCGGAAGAACATACTTGGTGAGCTGTGAACTTTTAAACCCGACAGTTTCGTCGTACAGTTTGAAGCGATTGAAAGTATGGGACAGCGTGTCCTAAGGAGAGTTGTTTCTGCTTGTTAGATCAGAAGCAACTGTTGGGTGTTGACATCCGAACGTTACCTTTAATTGAAAGGTAACGTCTCGGCTCTGGTGTTCCCACAGCATGCTGATCAGAGCAGAGGAGATTTTAACGCGGGTCTCTTGCCGAGTCGCTTGACCCCGGTAGACATGCGTCAGTGAGCTGTTCAGACTGCCACTAAAAGCCCATTGTTCCCGGGTTTAAAGCGTTTTTTAGCCAGTGGTCCTCAGAAATGCATTATTATAGCTGTCCGGACCGACCACCATGTGGAAACATTCAGCCGATCTAACAGGGTCATTGTCACCAGCAGGTCGAAGGACCTGAAACACTTGGTGTCATCACTTATTGCTCCTTTAAAACAGGAACTGGAAGGAAAAAAAAAAAATTCTTTCAAAAACTTGAAAAATGTGACAACAAAAATACAGAGAGACTGGAACAGTTTCTTCACTGGAAAAATGATCGAGAAATAAGTACAGACTTCCTAAATAAAATGTTTTTAGCCTTAATTTGGGTAGTTAAATGAGATAGTTAGCCAATAGAATGAGTATTTTTACTCTAAAAATAAGATTTTTCTTATTTTAAATGTAAATTGTCTTGTTCCATCGACAAAATGTCTTCCTCAATCAAGAACTAATACATTTATTTTAAGAAAAAATGACTTATCTAGATTTAGATTTTTTCCAGTGTGCATTAGGATTCAGGAAATCATGAAATATTCTAGTTGGTTTGGGGGGGAAACCTAAAACCTGTTTTCATTGCAGAACTGTTGCTGACGCTTTTGCCTCAGCAGCTGGATTGGAGCTCAGGGTTAAAACTGAGTAGATTTTACTGCCGACCTGCTGGATTTAAGCAAAAATATGAATAAAAAGTGGTCATTGGTTCAGCAACACTGATGTGTCCTCCTCTAACAGTTAAACTCTGTGTCGGTGCTCGTGTTATTTCTAGAAAGTCACGTGACTGATACAGGAGACCAA